GACCTGATCCGCCCATATCCAGTTCAACCGTAATATACTTCAAGATGGTTCACTTGTCTCCTTGATTTTCCCTTTTCTCTGTTCCTTCCCAATCTGGTCTAAAGAATTCATTTTGCCTGGTTTAGAGAGGTAATGGAAGATAACCAACCACGACTTCAAGAATTCTTCATTTTACGGATTTTTATTTCTTTTTCGCGAGTGACGACAACTTGCGCAGACAATTCCTCGTCGACATGTCGGGCGTGAGTGAACGCGAGTGACACAAGCACCAATTACCCAAATGGTAGATAGTTAGATCCGAATAGCATTTGAAATCGTATCTAACAACCAGAGACCGAGAGTTATTTTATCTTGGCCCGAAGAACTGAGGCATTGTTGTGGCTCGCTTTGATACCATCACCTTCACGGCCACAACCATATCCAGCACTGTGTGTGTGTGTGTGTGTGTGTGTGTGTGTGTGTGTGTGTGTGTGTGTGTTAGTAATAATTAACGGTTTAGTGAAAGAACATGGAAGCTATAATGCTGAAAATATACAGTTACATAATTGGGGATTGGATCACTTGATTGCCAAACATACAAGTAACAAAAGTGATGCAAATATGATATATAACAAGATGGGGAGAAGGTCATATTACAAGGCATTTCAACCTAGTAACAATACAAAAGTAATTTTGGCAGGGAGTAAACATACTGGTCAACAACGAGTTGTTGATAATTTTTACAATAGTTGGGACTGGGCTGTTCTTACAGCGATCAGTACGTGGTCGTATGGGCTGGGTGCGGTTGTAGTGTCGAACATCAATTCACGGACGAGGCATCTCGGTGGAGCAGGAGACAGTATCGAGGATGGTGCAGAAGCTTCTCCCCAAGTTTGCAGATGAGGTCATGTGGATGATCAGAGACAGCCGAGAGGGTCAGTGTGTTAAACGCTTCTTGATAAGTGAAGTAGGTGGAGGAGAGAATAGTCTTGCACTGAAGACCTCAGGCGCGGGAACTGCAAAGGACTCGAGACGACGGGGTAAGTAGGAACGAAAGCTGAAAGATTTGATAATTGTACGGGACGTGTGTTTTCCAATTTAGTTTATCTATTTTTTAAACATTCAGTGCAACAAGTCCGAAGAGGAATCCTGAACATCGGGTTACTTTTAACGAACCCGACAGATGAATTTGTCATATTAAAATAACAGCTATGAAGAATCCATTTTTCGGGCCACTTTAAACTGACCTGATGTTCGGCATTCCTCTTCGGAGTTGCTGCACTGAATGTTTAAAAGAAATGGGCGAGTGACACCGAGGAACTTGGTGGAGTCCACAACCTGGAGTGTGTTGGGGCCCAAAGTAATGGAGGGAGGTGGGGCATGGTCGGAGGAGAGGTTGATGTGCATAAGCATGGTCTTGGTTTGGTTGATGGTGACAAAGTTGGTGGTGGATCAATCTTGGAGACTGTTCAATATATTTTGGAGGGCAATGAAGTTGAGAGCCGAGTTGCTCTCACTGGTGCCAATGGTGGAGTCATCGATATATTTCCAGTGTGATTTGATTTTGCCTCTTACAACGGTTACTTTATTGTGCACCCCACACTCATCCTGTGAGCGGTAGCGCAAAAGGATTACAGAGTAGAGTTTACAACGGGTCATTATAATTAACCCCCGTGGTCAGGATATTATGGCACTGAATGTTACACAGTATTTCAATTACATTATTTGTTTAGTTCTATACATAAAGGGTAACTTATTCACAAATGCGTGAGGACAAGCGTGTGAGGCAGTATGTCTGGCCTCACACTTTGTTATTCACATTTGCGTGAGAAGTATTCAAGCACATTGTGTATTTGCTTCTATACATGAGAACTGATATAGTTACTAAGTGTAAAAAAGTGGATACAATCTTAATATGTCGGCTATCTTGCCATTAGAGATGAAGTGTTGTGCTATTTCACACACAGTGTGCTTAGACCTGTCCCTAAAAGGTTCTATCTTCACACAGTCGAGATCGTAGGTTCAAGTGTGTGGCCATATGTATGGCCACACACTTTACATTTAGTCTTGTTTGCATCTGCTTGAGGAACATACTGCCAGAGGTACTTATATCTTAGCCTTAATCTAGCGGTTACAACATCTTGTAATCTAGTGATCTTGTTACTTGCTCCATATACATGTTTCACTTGATACTATGGATCGACTAGTGCCTGTTTGCACTTGTCTACTTGCGTCAAACTCATCAATAAGTTCTTTCCTAATTACAGTTTTGGTTTTTGACAGACCCAAATTGTATTCAACGGTGTCTTTGTTAGACGCTAGTTTGGCGAGGGCACCAACTCTGTCACGTTTTATGAGGCCTATGTGAGAGGGGATCCACAACAGTTTGACCTTGACACCCCGGTCTGTGTATATGTGTGTGTGTGTGTGGTGCCAACATTACGAACATTTATCTCAATAAACATACTGCCAACATTTCCAGCACTAAACATAAACACTGCCAACATTACCATCACCTAATATAAGCACTAACAACATTACCAACACCTAATATAAACACTGTCAACATGACCAACACTAAACATAAACACTGCCAACATTACCAACACCTAATATAAGCACTAACAACATTACCAACACCTAATATAAACACTGTCAACATGACCAACACTAAACATAAACACTGCCAACATTACCAACACCTAATATAAACACTGCCAACATTACTAACACCTAATATATACACTGCCAACATGACCAACACCTAATATAAACACTGTCAACATGACCAACACTAAACATAAACACTGCCAACATTACTAACACCTAATATAAACACTGCCAACATTACCAACACTAAACATAAACACTGCCAACATTACCAACACCTAATATAAACACTGCCAACATTACTAACACCTAATATAAACACTGTCAACATGACCAACACTAAACATAAACACTGCCAACATTACCAACACCTAATATAAACACTGAGCACATTACCATCACCTAATATAAACACTGAGCACATTACCATCACCTAATATAAACACTGCCAACATTACCATCACCTAATATAAACACTGAGCACATTACCATCACCTAATATAAACACTGCCAACATTACCATCACCTAATATAAACACTGAGCACATTACCATCACCTAATATAAACACTGAGCACATTACCATCACCTTATATAAACACTGAGCACATTGCCAACACCTAATATAAACACTGCCAACATTACCATCACCTAATATAAACACTGAGCACATTGCCTACAAAACAATCTTGATGCTCTAAGTGCATGTATGTGTTAAATAACGAGTAACTGATCCACATTATTTTGGTAAATAAAGAAATGAAAAGCAAGCACTTAGCCATATGGATATAGTTACACGGAAGAAGGGAAATAGGATGAACCATGGTTTTGATGGAAACAATGTGCTCTGGGACGATGCTCACAATGACGAATGGGAGAAACCTCTTAATGAAACATCTTACCTACTAAGGATGAAGTTTAATGTTACAGAACACACACACACACACACACACACACACACACACACACACACACACACACAAACACAACAACACACACACAACACACACACACACACACACACACACAGTGTAACTTTGTGTGACGCGTTGTCTGACTTGGGGTGGCTTTGAGCGAACCATACACTTGATATTACAATTTATGTATCCTTCCTGTCCATGATTTACAACAATAACTGAAGGGTAAAAGTTACAATATTATACTAGTAACACTGTCATGTATTGATACTATGACTAGTTACCAAGATACAGGGCATCGATGAACATAATATGATAATGATAGTGAAGCCTGGAAGGGTTCATATCATAACTTGCGTGTTCTTGAGTATGTTGCTCCGTGAGATTACCTTGGGCCTCCATGTGCCCAGGTGGGATGGTCAAAGTATTACACTGTAAGTGTGTCAAATGAGGAGTGACTGATCCACATGAAATTTAAGGTTTTTGAAATATGTAGTCAAATTAAACACGATTTTTCATATAGTTACGCGAATGATGGGGTGTGGTGGAAGCATCGTGGTCTGGCACACACAAACAAGCGCTGTAAACGTTGTGTGGACTCACTAGGTGGTTTGGAAGTGTTTATTTCCATTCATACTTTCGTAACTACAACCTATGGTAATTTTTCTTCGTGTTCATATACTGTATAATGAAGATAATGCAGAGTATAAAATGCCATATACAATATTTATACATAATGTCATCTATACAGCTGTACTATGACTTTGTGTGTTCGTGCCTGTGTTGTCTTGTGGTAGTTAGAGTGGGCCCCCGTCCAGAAAGGACACTGTACTAACCTCCAGCACCTACCCAGGTGGGCTAGAGATTATGGTTTCCGACTGTATCTGCTGTAAATCGAAAGTTGCCTCAGGGACAAGTTGTTGGAGCTTCCAATAACTTGCTTAAACAAAAAAACTATTGACTCTTCAGGCTTCTACGCCCTTGACTCTTAAGGCTTGTACGCCCTTAACTCATCGGACATAAGGCAAGCATGAACTTAGCATGCTTCCCTGTTGGGCGCTGTAAACGCTTCTGCGCTTAACCTTACACAAGGATGTAGTGGGGGCCCCTGAAAAAAAAAATTACCAACACTTAATATAAAAACTACCAACATTACCAACACTTAATATAATCCCTGTCAGCATTACCAACACCTAATATAAACACTGCCAATATTACCAACACCTAATATAAACACTGCAAACATTGCCAACACTTAATATAAACACTGCCAACATTACCAACACTTAATATAAACACTGCCAACATTGCCAACACTTAATATAATCCCTGTCAGCATTACCAACACCTAATATAAACACTGCCAATATTACCAACACCTAATATAAACACTGCAAACATTGCCAACACTTAATATAAACACTGCCAACATTACCAACACTTAATATAAACACTGCCAACATTGCCAACGCTTAATAATGTCTTGTTTTTACTTACAGTTTACCAATACCGGTGCTGAGAGAGATTCCAAATGTCGCAAGAACTCAGATTGCTTTATGGTAAGTAACTAATGAGTGACCATTAAGTAATTGTATGTGACCTTTAATTAATGTAAGTGACCTTTAAGTAATGTATATGACCTTTAGGTAATGTAAGTGACCTTTAAGTAATGTAAGTGACCTTTAAGTAACGTAAGTGACCTTTAACTAATGTAAGTGGCCTTTAAGTAGTGTAAGTGACCTTTTACTAATCTAAGTGACCTTTAAGTACTTTGAGTGACCTATAAGTAGTGTAAGTGACCTTTGAGTAATGTAAGTGACCTTTGAGTAATGTAAGTGACTTTTGAGTAATATAATAATAGTTCGTTATAGTGGGCGAAGGTGTCGGATTTTGGTGACTGGTTAGCAAAGGTGGAATTAAATTAGGTTAGATTGGTTATCATTTGGATAGATTTGGTTAGATTAGGTAAGTATTAGATTAGGTCAGCGTTATGTTAGGTTAGGTTAGGTTAGATTAGGTTAGGTTAGGTTAGGTTAGGTTAGGTTAGTGTTGTTATTCTTTTTTAATCTTATGGTTCAATTTGCTTGTAGAATCCACACAGCCAACATGTAGTTTATTTAGCTATCAGTATTAATATTCACATATAGGCAGTATATTCATTTTTCTTATTTTATCATCAACATTAGATGCACAGACAATCTGGTTTAATGACGAATTGAACACCAATGGAAAATTCTCTAATTACGAGAGAAATAGGAGGTTAATGTCAAAGCTCCTCTAGAGACACATGTGCTCGATGGACTGGCTGGGGTCTGGGGAGCCGAGTAGTTTTATAATGATTCTCTTAAACTAGACATGTGAAAGAGGTGTGAAAATGTCATATAATACGTGACAAGGACGTGATAATTATTGCTTAATTGCTCGTTGTCAAATTAACTAGAGTGATGCAACGTATATAATACTATGTATAATTAGCCCACATATATACAGTTATTATTGTCCATTTATTAAGTTTAAAAGAGGCCATTGCAGTATTAGGTTAGGTTAGGTTAGGTTAGGTTAGGTTGTTAGGGAAAGTTAAGTTAAGGTTGGTTAGGTTAGGTCAGAATAGGTAAGGTTAAGTTAGGGCAGGTTAGGTTATGTACGTGGTAAAAATTGTCGGGTATATAAATGGTATTTTAGGCGAATAATAGGCTATTTACTGCAAAATGCCCCGTGATATGTAAAATACCCTTCTTCGGACATGGTAGGGTATATTCCTGTTCATAATACCCTTCTTCGGACATGGTAGGGTATATTCCTGTTCATAATACCCTTCTTCGGACATGGTAGGGTATATTCCTGTTCATAATACCCTTCTTCGGACATGGTAGGGTATATTGCTGTTCATAATACCCTTCTTTCGGACATGGTAGGATATATTCCTGTTCATAATACCCTTCTTCGGACATGGTGAGTATTTGCTGTTCATAATACCCTTCTTCGGACATGGTAGGGTATATTGCTGTTCATAATATCCTTCTTCGGACATGGTAGGGTATAATGCTGTTCATAATACCCTTCTTCGGACATGGTAGGATATATTCCTGTTCATAATACCCTTCTTCGGACATGGTAGGGTATATTGCTGTTCATAATACCCTTCTTCGGACATGGTAGGGTATATTGCTGTTCATAATACCCTTCTTCGGACATGGTAGGGTATAATGCTGTTCATAATACCCTTCTTCGACATGGTAGGGTATAATGCTGTTCATAATACCCTTCTTCGGACATGGTAAGGTATATTCCTGTTCATAACCTTCTTCGGACATGGTAGGGTATATTGCTGTTTATAATACCCTTCTTCGGACATGGTAGGGTATATTCCTGTTCATAATACCTTCTTCGGACTGGTAGGGTATATTGCTGTTCATAATACCCTTCTTCGGACGTAGGTGATTGCTGTTCATAATACCCTTCTTCGGACATGGTAGGGTATAATGCTGTTCATAATACCCTTCTTCGGACATGGTAGGATATATTCCTGTTCATAATACCCTTCTTCGGACATGGTAGGGTATATTGCTGTTCATAATACCCTTCTTCGGACATGGTAGGGTATATTGCTGTTCATAATACCTTCTTCGGACATGGTAGGGTATAATGCTGTTCATAATACCTTCTTCGGACATGGTAGGGTATATTGCTGTTTCTAATACCCTTCTTCGGACATGGTAGGGTATATGCTGTTCATAATACCCTTCTTCGGACATGGTAGGGTATAATGCTGTTCATAATACCCTTCTTCGGACATGGTAGGATATATTCCTGTTCATAATACCCTTCTTCGGACATGGTAGGGTATATTGCTGTTCATAATACCCTTCTTCGGACATGGTAGGGTATATTGCTGTTCATAATACACCTTCTTCGGACATGGTAGGGTATAATGCTGTTCATAATACCCTTCTTCGGACATGGTAGGGTATAATGCTGTTCATAATACCCTTCTTCGGACATGGTAGGGTATATTGCTGTTCATAATACCCTTCTTCGGACATGGTAGGGTATATTCCTGTTCATAATACCCTTCTTCGGACATGGTAGGGTATATTCCTGTTCATAATACCCTTCTTCGGACATGGTAGGGTGTAATGCTGTTCATAATACCCTTCTTCGGACATGGTAGGGTTATATTGCTGTTCATAATACCCTTCTTCGGACATGGTAGGGTATATTGCTGTTCATAATACCCTTCTTCGGACATGGTAGGGTATAATGCTGTTCATAATACCCTTCTTCGGACATGGTAGGGTATAATGCTGTTCATAATACCCTTCTTCGGACATGGTAGGGTATATTCCTGTTCATAATACCCTTCTTCGGACATGGTATTTCATTAGAATATAATTAGTTTTATCGTGACATATGGAATAACTGCTCATGAAAGTCACCAGATACCACTTCCATCCCACCAAGACTTTTCACTACACGACATACTGTTTCTCCCAATTTATTTTTCAGTTTAATAAGCTGAAAAAAATATATATATTTTGGAATGAAAATTATTTCTGATTAATTACTTGTCTTACCTGCATCATCTTAGTGGAGAATATAGTCATGGCGAAGTGTGGCGAATAGGAGATGAAAGAATGATGTTTTAACTTTCAATCTAAATGGTCAAAATTAACCTAAGTAACTGTACAATACACCTGTAAATGAGGAGGAGGGATAAAATGAAGTAATACGGGAAAGAAAGAAATATGGAATAAGGAAAGATTTACAACATCTCGGTTTCGAATATGCCAAGAGAGCCAATGAGCACTGAATTGTTGTTGTTATAAAGTTATTACTGCGCTTCAACAACATGTGTCTTTAAGTGCGTTGCAAGGTTAGTAATTACACTACTCCATCAACATTAAAGATTATGAGAGATACTACTCTGTACACTGAGCTACAGTACACTCTGACTTCTGTTTTAGAGCCAATCAGCTCCACGCAGATTGGTGCTAAGCCCTCCACAGGAAGGTGGGATCTATATAGTTTCTTGTTTTGGGTGTTTTTTTGTGAAAAGGTCAACTTGCTAAAAAGAGATGTCATGACCTATGTTTGTGGGAAAAGGACTATTGCAAAGTCGGAACTTAATGGCGTGAGTGTGAGCCAACTGTCGAGAGTCACACATGGTTGTGTATGGTGATACCACCTATAATGTTTGTGGTACTGCATCTTACAGCATTCACGCTGTAACTGAGAGAAGTGTGAGGAGTATCTTGGCCCAGATGTGTGTCACTGGACGGTGGAGGGGAAGAGGCGGCGTACTGTACAAACACTGTGTGAGGAAGATCACTGCCGAGTTATTTTCATAGGGCTTCTCTTCGCCATAATATACACTTTTGCAACCCAAAGGTTTTAAATGTACTGGTGTTTATATACCCTTTTGTAGAATATAAGGGTTTATAGAATGATAATTAATATACACTTTCTAGAGTAAGGGTTTTATTGGTAATCATATATCTATAAGGGTTTGCCATTTGGGACACAAAAACTCCTTTCAAGCATTTTTATACCCCATTAGTTTACAGCATTAATACTAGTATCTCAGACCACTTATACACAGACACATCTGAACGACACCTGTCATAAATGTATGAAAATTATAAAAAAAACGGCTCACTGAAGCTACGATACATTACTTCCCAACAGGTGATGAGAGTGAACATGAAGACACCTTAAATCTCAGTATAATATAGTAGCAGTAATATCTATAGTTTGGCCTTCTCACATCTTCAGGTAAGGATAAAATTCTATAAATGTATAAGAATAGGTTGCTATAAAACTTTAAAAATCCAGATCTATTAATGTTTGGGTGTGTGGTAAGAGCTTAATGTAGCCAGCCACCTTACCGTACACTTAGCTTGTCTCGGCCCCGTAACGTGTTACACGTCCCCCGTCCGTCGTATCTCAGTCTCCCCGTTCTGTCTACCTTGTCGGATTTGTGTCACAAGTCATCATAGATGCTACTACTGCCCTGTCCAACCTCAGGGAAGACCAGGGGAGGGGGATTACAGGGGATTATAGACCATATTACTCCTACCATGAGGGCGGATTAGATCCTAAGTCAAATGTACCTTTTGCCAGGATTGCATTCCGAGGGTTGGGCCTTCGGGCGTGGGATCCTCCTTGATGTCCTGAACCAAGCTTCCTTTCTAACTGAGATGTATTGTTACTTATATAAGTTCCAGGACTTATTGACTTAACAATGTAAACACAGATATCGAGATCATAGTCTTAGTAGATTGTGTACTGTACTATGTTGAGGGTTAGGTCTATTGGCCATACTGGGTAGTTCCATTTACACCCAACCCCTATCGCTCATATATCCACCCAACCTATAATTGAAGCTATCCAGCGTGTTCGAGTTAATGATGATGTTTGGTAACTTGTTCCACTCATCCACTACTCTATTTCCAAACCAATGTTTACTTATCTCGCGTAATTCTACGTACGTCTAATTTAAAATCAAACTTTGGAGAGAAAGATTGTGTGTGTGTGTGTGTGTGTGTGTGTGTGTGTGTGT